AATTGAATCCACAATGGGGCAAGCCTCGTAATCAGCGGCAGCAAAACAAGTCATTATCATGTTAATCAGGTTTTTCACTGTTAAGTTGTCAACTGATTTGCTTTGGATTCTTTTCGGCTCAAGTCTGAACTCAACACAACAACAGCCTTCAACTCAACTTACTTCAGCGTTTCAATAGCATGACGTAGTTTCCCATTTCATTTTAACTTGTAGATACAACATCTCATCTCATCCACACGTTATTATCGTAAACAAATACACCCTATATTCCTTGTTCAATGTTGAATTTAAATCTACAAGCAATGACTTTGCAGTTCATGTTCGTGTTTGAATTTTTTCACCTTTTAACTCAATCAGTCGTTTCATGTCAACTCGTTAACAAAGACAGAAAAGAAAAAAAACGACGCGATTGCTAGGTCAGAAGACCGGAATTTGTTTCTCTGGGCTTTCAGGTATGGTAGAGGTCTTCATGTGTAGAGCCCAATATAGTACTTAAAATATGGGCTCAAGCTCATACGGGAGTTGCAATGTAGCTATATTTTGGGCCTAGTCTACAGCAACCCATGCTTTATAGAAGGCCAAAATAAAAACCCATGTCCCCTAAAAAATGATTTAATGATCTATGAATTCCAAAACAATTATAGTTTTTCGGGTGTGAAAAAGAAACCCAAAATCTCTATAAAAATCCAAACCCAACTTATCGGGGTTTACCAACGATTTAAACCATCAGAAGAATCGTTTGGCATAATTGATGCCATTCAAACTATGTGCTGCAAAATTTGTTAGAGGCGCCGTTCAATAATTTATATCATTTTTAATTTTCAATTTCTTCTTTTTTTATGTAGAGAGCCAAAAATATATAGGAGAAATGATTTATTTTTTCTTTTTAAAGAGTGGAATGAGGAAGGATAGAGAAATTAAAGAGAATTCATAAAAACTTGAAAAGAAAACCATTTCAAATGGGTTTCAGTTTTTACATTGTATACTGTTCTATTTTGTTTCCTTCCTCCTCTCTCTTTCGTTCTTTCTCCTGCATATTTCTCTTTCATCTTTAATTAACTAAAACATGAAAAATCGAAAACTAAAAACGATACAATTACTAAAAAGCCCTTCATGAATGATACGACCAGGTGGATGGATGTTGCAATCAATCCATTTCACATCATGAAAATTGAGTTGGGTTTCTCCTTTTCTTTTCTCCTATCTTATCTTAGAAAGAAAAGGTGAAAGCTAAACCTCCCCTAGTGCTTGAACTTGAAATTTGAATTGGAAGGAACTTGAAATCCATTGCACAATAATGTATTTCAATTTGTCCTCGTGTGAGACTCTGAATTGATAACTAGCATAGTATGATAATACCATCGACTTATTATAGTTGATACTTTGTGTGAGAAGAACTTACAAAAGAGATTGTCTCTCAAAATAGTTAATTAGTTAATCATGTGATTGATTGATTGAGTGTATTTGTATTTGTATTTCATAGAAAATAACCCATTATAATCACCGCCTAATTAATTGGTCACTTAACCCTGTCATTATTCATCAACGATGAAATAAATAAGAAAAATACTGGGTTTAATTTCATCGAGAAAAAGGACAAGAAAGCATACAGTTGGACATGATGTTTTTTTTTTTTGGGAAAGTTGGACATGATGTTTGTAGTTGTGGGTGGAATGCTGACTCCTTTCACCAACACAAACTAATAAACACATGTGATCAATATGCAGCAGCAGCCAGCCACCACACCACTATAATATATCATATGATTCTTACCCTTTTTTCCTAGACCCCATGCACTTTGATTATTACTTCACTTGCATTATTGTATGTTTATTATAATATATAATCAACACCGAAATGACTGGATTGCCCCATGCATAACTTTGCAATATAATATATTGAAGTGCAGGATGGCTAATATGGTCATTATCATGAGGAAGAAGCCGAGTGGTACTGGTATATAAGAAAGCTGTTGGCTTTGGAAGAAGAGCACTCAGCAAAACCAAGTTGTATTTGTATCTCTACAACTTCACAACAAGACAAGACAAAGAAGAAGAAGAAGAGATAAACAGAGATGGAGGGTGCAGCAGCTACTGCAGGGAGAGCAATGATGAACGGTGGAGACTTGTCCAGGAGATTATCTGGCCGTCCGATTCCAAAGAGGGGTCAGGTGAAGCTGGGAATTGTGGTGGGACTAGCCAATTCTGTGGCTTCCATCTTTGGTCCTCACCGCCGTCCATCAATGCACAAACAGTCAAGGAACAATTCCTAGAGTTACTAAGACGAAACTCAGAGAGTGATTATTAGGCATGAAGTTCTGAGCATGTAATGGATTTTAATGTTTGTACATTGTAGAATTTGCTTCAAATATATATTGAAATGAGAATTTGTTCAATCATTTCACTTGATATTGGTACAATATTATTTATTTATTTGGTACCCAGATAGGTATATTGTTCAAAATTTTGGCTGGTATTAAATCTTAAACCCCTAGAAAAAGAAGTCGGGAATTTGAGACTAAAATTGGAATACAACATAAAATGACCCACTAGTGTAGTGATTTGAAATAATTGTTTCCTCAAGCAAGGTTTTGAATTCAAGTCCTAGCATATGTATAGTTTATTTTATAGCCCCTCTCAATAAAAAAAGTTCTTCAAAAATTGGAACACCCCAAGCAACAATCGCTTTAAAGAATATAATTTGAATAGATATAGCCTAGTCAAATAGTGTATAATTCCAACTCTTTTGGCCTTGAATTTTGATTATGATACGTAAGTGCCTACGTACCTACTTGAGTAGAACATTACCACAAGTAACATAAGCATGGGATTTGATTCGATCAGTACAGTGTTAATGCTGAATTGAAGCTTCACCGTCGAAACTAGGGTGCGTCAAAATCACTGAAGAAAAACTGATCAAACCAGCCATTTGGGGGACTATTTGTGTTTTGCGGTAAAATGATTTAAGCACTTCACATGAGAATTATCATGATCAATGATTTAGATTCACATTTTAACGAAACGTAACATTCATGCTCATCTTCATATTTTCATATCTGAATCTGGCGCATGTATTTGTGCACTAATCAATCAACCTTATTATAAAACTAAAAGAAAAACAACAATCAATCAACTCCAATATAATAATCCCACTGCCTAGATCGAATCCATGCCTACGTAAACACAATTTGACGTAACTAAACACATGTTTGTAGAGATTCCGGGGGCGTACATGAACCAAGTCCTTTTCACTATAAGATCCAGTGTAGGTAACTAATTAGGGTTATTATACTAATTAATATTCCAACATCTCCTTCCTAGTCTTATCGTTTTGGAAACAAAGTTTCAAATAAAGATCTTCCTCATCAAACCTATTTGATTTTGTGCACCTTAAATTAATAATTAAGGACAAGACGTGCACGAGGAGACCCGCAACTTAACTGTCACTTGGATCCATGGTAAAGAGAATGACTTTAAATTTCTCAGTGGGAACAAAATGGCCATGTGATTTTTGTGGACCATAATTTTATATAGTTGAAACAAAAACCAAGAATTCATAACTTGGTCCTAGTTTGAAGCTTTACCTTTGATTCACTTAAACCATACTTTAGGTACTAATTGTCATGTTGCATTAAAACAAAACAAAGAAGAAGTTGTCGTGTTCATATTTACTGATTTATTTTTTCTGGCCAGAGAACTCAACAGCTGGCAAGGTCAAAGTATTTTTATAATCCCACAGATTAATTCCTTTAATTGTTCAGCATATCAGGTTTTGACTGGAGATTAGTTTAAGCAGGAAAGACAAGCGTGTGAAACACTGTCTTGTTATTCTCAGTCAATCACAATATACCACACGTCATAATTCCAGAGATAGCAAACCTTTTAACACAAGTTTTTCTAGTTTAAGCAGGTTTGGCTGCCGCCGCACACTTAAAATATATTAGAACAAATCTGTTCCTTTTAAACACAATCTGTCATAATTAAAATATATTTGTGTCCACTGTCTGGTAGTGAAGTGAGTGTAGGTTAGATGAAATACAATGAACCAAGGTCCTTCTTCCCACTATCAGATTCAGTGAATGAAAATAACATAATCCCATATTTAAATTAGCAGTTGAACAAAAAAATAGAAAAAGGTTTGGCGTTAAGTAGCATGCGAGCGGGCCCACTTATTTGGCTCTTGAGAAAAAGAAGAGCTACAGACAAAAGGTGCGGTGGGTGGGGGCATATGCTTTTTCAGTCAATATTTTGATGATGGGAATCAAATGGCCACGTGCGTTTTATGCAAACGTTTCTTAATCTTTTACTAGCAGTGAGGTGATGGTGTGAAATTGAATAAATTATATATTTTTTAAAATAGAAAAGAAATTCAAGTTGTGATTCTTGTTGTGACAATGAAATGAGACTGACTTGTCAAGGTCAAGTCGTCGAGAAGATAAGCTCTTTGGGTTATGAATTCAAGGAGCTTTAAGCTTTTTTTATGGAAAACCGACACAAGAAACCACTGAAGGTGAAGTATGAACGCGAACGCGGCCGCTTGGGAGGTCAAAATTGTCTTTCAACAAACTCATACAGTCAAATTCTACCAGCAAACATTATCATATCATTATGCAGCATCCATATCTAGTGCACCAACCCAAAAATATTTTATTGACCAAAAAAAAAAAAAAAAAAA